GTAGTAGTAGTAGTGGTGGTGTATTGGCATTGTACTGTGTTGTCAGTATGCCTATATGTTTGTATGTCCGTGTGTCCGTATGCATGTATGACATATATGCATGTACACATGCATGCATGCATGCGCGCATGCAGGCCGGCATGGATGGATTGCTGTATGAATGTATGAAAGTATGTCTGTCCGTGTGTGCTTAAGGCTTAGGGCTTAGGTGTGCTTGTCTGCACAGACCGTGCCGCAATGAGTTGTGTCGACCCTGTCCTTAAGGCTTTGCATGTGAAAACCCCGCCTTCCCGTTGAAGAAGCACAAACAACCAAGCCGGGAAAGTCCAAACACAATAGCCCTCGGCTTTTGACTGATCCCAAATTCAATCCTAGGTGCCTGCCACCTCGGCACCGGGGTCTCTCTTTAGCGGCTCAGGCACGAAGAGTGGGGTGGGAGGGAGAGTTTGTCGCTGAAGCCCAAATCTTGGCCAAACCTTGTGGCCGTGGGCCCGAAAGCCAGAAACCTGAAGCCTGTCAACGGAAGCAAAAGGGTTTAGGGCTTAGGGTTCTTGAAAGGGACATCTCAATTAGCAGCGTCATGTCTTTCTTGCCCTCAGTCTTCCCTCCCTCTCTGCTAAGCATCAGGGCACGCAGAACCCGACCCAAAACCCTATATGTATATATATATATGCTAAAGAATCTCATTCCCTTCGTCGACTGCCTGAAACCCTTCAGCCAGAACCCGAGACGAGGCCAGAAACTCCAGAAGCCCTTCCTCAAGGATCCCTTAGACAGCAGGAAGCAGTAATGACAAACAGAAGGGAGTCTGAAGAATGAGTGCTTGTATTCCCTAAACCCTAAACCCTAAACCCGTAACCCCTAAACCCTAAACCCTTAACCCCTAAACCCTAAACCCTAAGCCCTAAAGTGCAGTAGAAAAAAACCCGGACCCGAACCCAACTCTGATCCGAGACCCCTAAGCCCCTCGAGACAGGACACGCAAAGAGCCGCAAGGAGACCGAAACTAAGTGAGCGTTCAACCAACCTGAACATGAAACACCACAAGAATAGCTTTAAGATTCTGGAGTTGAGCCCTAAGCATGCAAACCCAACACGACACGTTCAGGGTTTAGGGTTTAGGGAGACACAGTAAGAAGCGTTATAGACTCTTCAAGGCGCCGCAGGCTCTGCGACGATGGGAGCAGCCGCCGCCGGACGCCTTGAGAAGCTGGGCCGCGGCGACCGCATCATGGTGCGTGGCTGGGGCGGCAGATGTGATATGGGTTTACTATAGAAGCCTAACTAATTACTAATCTTATTCCTTATGGTTCCTTCTTATGATCATACGATAAAGGGCCCCAAACCCTCTGCTAATTCTTAAGGCCCCTACACTAGATGAGTTGAGGGTTCAGAGTTTGGAGGTCTTAACCTTGAAGGTTTCGGAGCTGGTAGAGGGCCCGGGAGACTGCAGCGGAGCGCTAGGGATGTTGAAAGTTTACACTGTACTAAAGTCCTTTTTCAGGTACGCGTGATGCACGAGACGTGGCGTAAATCTCCGTAATTCCGAAGAGCCGACCTCCGACAGGTTTCGAGAAGGCTTGGCTTGTCCTTTTTGACATGGCGCTGAGCTCTCGTGTGCGCGAGCTGCGTAGAGGGTTCAGGGGTTGAAGGTGGTAACCCCGAAGCAGCCCAGCAGATGGGGATGTTCCCATTCTGCTTCAAGGCTACTCAAGGGATCCCCAGCATTTCCGTGGCTCAGGCAATGGCAAGCAGTACTGGGAGGGCGAGTGGATTTGTGCAGACTGTGGTTACATTTACAACGAGCTTCTCGGCATGTAAGAATCTGGGGGGAGGTCAGGATGTTTTAGGGGGCCGTGATGGTGACGATCTATGACAATGACGATCACGATGGCGACGGTGATGGTGACAGTGATGGGATTCATCATCATGACCATGTTGATGGTCGGAAGCATCATCACCGCCGGCAGCAACGGGAACAATGCCCAGCACCAGCAGAACCAGGCTTAACCGCAGCCAACATCACATTCACAATCTGAAACGAGCGAGCACACAAGGAAACGTCGCCACAGGCTGGCGTACGACTCTCAACATCTATGCTTCCAGAATCGATGTTTCTCGTTATGTTCGTACACCGAAGTGCCAGGCTGAGTACTCTCCGTTGTGCAATGCTAACGCCAAGGCCATTGCTACTACTGCAAGTATGACGAGACTATTTCAAGTAGTGCGACAGTAGTAGTAGTAGGTGGTGGTGGTGGTGGTGGTCGTGGTGGTGGTAGCAGCAGCAGCAGCAGCAGTAGCAGCAGCAGTAGCAGTAGCAGTAGCAGTAGCAGTAGCAGTAACTGTAGCGGTAGCAGTAGCGGTAGCGGTAGCGGTAGCGGTAGCAGCAGTAGTAGTAGTCGTCGTCGCCGTCGTGGTCGTCGTAGTGTAGAAGTAGTTGTAGAAGTGGATGTAGACGTAGAAGAAGTAGAAGTAGCAGTAGTCGTCGTTGTCGTGGTGCTGGTGGTGCTGGTGGTGGTGGTGGTCGTGGTAGTGCTAGTAGCGCCAGTGCTAGTCGGAGGAGCAGCAGCAGCAGTGGTTGTCTTGGTGGTGGTCGTCGTTGTCGTTGTAGTAGTAGAATATTAGCAGTCATTTTTAATGTCACTGCCATTGCCGTTACCACTTGCGGGGTTCGATTTCGATTCCTGCAGCCTTTTCGCCAAGGCGCTCCTTCGGCATGAAGTTCGAGGCGCTCGGGTGGGCAACGCGTTCCGGGTCATTGGCGTTCGAGTTCTTAGAGCCTGCAGGGGCCACTTCAGTTTCCGGACTTTTCAGTTGCAGGAAAACGTCCAAACTCACCCAGTCCCCACCCTAAACCCATGGCTATACCTGTAAACCCTGAAGCCTTCAGCCCTACGCCCCTAAACCCTAAACCCTAAACCCTAAACTCTAGACCCTAAGCCCCTAAACCCCAAACCCTAAACTCTAGACCCCAAGCCCGAAGCCCAAGCTGAACCCAACCCCTGCGAAGGATCTCCAGCAGGGCTTCAAGTGCCCTCAGTGCGCCGCGCCGCGCCGGCGCTTCGCGCGGAAGCTCGGTGCCGCGGCTGGAGCTTCGGTGCTTTTTTTAAGGTTAGTAGGGTGTTACTTGGGCCAACTTGGGTTTTTGGGCGGATTTTGTTCGGGTTTCAATAGGGGTTTGATGGGGTTGAGTATTCGGGGTTTGATGGGGTTGAGTTTTCTCGGGCTCGGGTCGATAGAAAACCAAGCACATGTCTCTATCTTCTACTGCGGCTACGACGTTTACCCTCGTAGCTCGTATATAGTATGCTCAGAGAGAGTGTCAGTGTGATGGGCCATGTTCGTCGTCTTGGGCTTGGGGGTGCTTCCTTCGTAGCCCGACCTGGCATTCCGAATCTGAGTCCAATAATACCGAAAGCCTAGACCAATCCCTCCGTAATCTCCCTAAGCCCTAAACCCTAAAGATGCACCAAACCCAAAAGCCTAACCTCAAGCTTTGCCACAAAGGCGACAAAATCGGCACGACCCTGGACGGCGTCTAAGCGGCAATGGCCGTTTTGGGGCTCGAAGAGCTCTATGAGGTCAAGCGTAGGTCTTCGTGCTTCAGGGCTCAGTGCATTGGGTTTAGGATGGCTTGAGGCTTAGGAGCTAGGGCCCTAGAGGTTTCGGATTTTGGAGCGTTAGTTATGGCATTTCTTCTTGCTGTTGGCGTATGTCGACTAGTGCTAGTGCTGTCAGTGCTTAGTTCAACGATAGTAATGCCAGTGCAATCAGCATTGTCTTGTTGGATCTTGTTGCTATGATTCTTTCGTACAGCCTAGACCTAAACCCTACGCCCCGAACCCCTAAACCCTAAACCCATAAACCCTAACCCTAAACCGCTAAACCCTCAAGCCCTCGACACCTACAGCTTTTGTTGGAGCTTTTCGCGTTCAGGTCCTCTCAGTTGCTGAATCTGCAACCAGGCCCTCCAAATCAGGTTTAGGGTCCCTTTTATAGAGGTGCCCTACTATCTTTGGGACCTAAAAAGGGACCCTAATTCAGACAACTACCCATATGGAAGCCTGCTATTATTCCTGAGGGTTCCCTATTTTATATATAGCCTGATTGATATACCACCAAGAGCCCTATCTAAGGATTGAGGTCCCGATACTACACCCTAAACCCTAAACCCTAAACTCCCTGGTGTTTGGGGCTTGGGTTTTTTAGTCCTTGACCCTACGCCCTAAAGCCTAAACCCTAACAGCCTGAATCCCCAAACCGGGGTTTGGCATGGAGCAGAAGTCGGGGTTCAGCGTTTAGAGTTTAGGGTACCTTGAAACAAGGGGGGGGTGGCAAGCTAGGGGTGTGAAACGTTAAGAAGAAGTGACGTTCCCTCAGAGTCCCGATATAGTTTTATTTTGTTACCATAGTATGGTCTAGAACCCTATTGCAACTCTCAAGGCCTCTAGGTTATCCGTTTCTTCGATTCCTGGCGCCTGTAAGGTGGCGACACGCCCATCATCATTTTCACAGCAGTTTGCCTGCCACTGCCTCAGACCTGCTGGTGTTGCGGTGCTAGGGTTCCGACGTGGCTCCTGACAATGGTCCCAGTTCAATGTTCCAGGCACATGAAGGGTCTCAAAGAGATACCCTTCTGGGAAGCACCGAGTGTCGTGCATCAGCTTGAACTTGAAGCTATCGGCACGAAGGCCCCAGAGCCGCAGAGCCCCTGAATTTGATCTAAGCCGTTCCTTGCCGGCTCGTGGGACCTGCTTTCCAGACCTCGGAGGACTGGAAAGGGATGTTATACGAAACACACCCTTACATCCCAAATGACCAACGTGCCAAACTCTCAAGATCCCAAGAAGCAGCAGTCTTCTGCGTTTGGGAGTTTAGATTTGAGACATGCGATTTGAGACATGCTATGAAAGTCGTTGATATGATCGTTCGTATCGGTACCTCCGGTTGTCGTAAAGAAGACCACGCAGACAAAGATGCAGACAAAGGTTGACCTTGACGAGGTGACGTGGCCGCCACGGCCGACGTCGACGATAACATGCATGATCGCAGAGCATCTCCCTAAACCCTAAACCCTTTTTTGGTTCATAAGGTTTTTTTGGGGTCTAACCCCTTTTTTGGTCCATAAGGTCTTTTGGGTCTAACCCTTTTTTGGTTCATAAGAGTTTTGGGTTTATTCTTAGGGTCTAGGTCCTGTTGGAGGATATGAGTTCGGGGTTTCGCTGTCTCGAGCTTCTCAACTCACTCGGATGATCCAAGCCCCGTGCCCCAAACTGTTTGGGGTTGAGGGTTCAGGGTTCAGGGTTTAGGGTTTAGGGTTTAGGGTTCAGGGTTTCGGGTTCAGGGTTCAGGGTTCAGGGCTTTGGGTTTCGGGTCTTCAAGCCTCTATTCACCCTCATAGTAACATTGAGCCCTAAATCCTTACTCCCGGGTTGCGCTTTGAGCCGAGGCTCATCGTCCTGGGCATTGCGTACTACAGCCTGCAGTAGATGCCATGTTTGGGATCGGTGGAGTTTGTCACTGCAAGCCCTTTGCGTGGGGACCCTATACTTGCAGGGGGGAGGCCCTGATCTTTGGGGTGCAAGCGTTTCGGGACCATGGATTGGAGTGCAGGCTTTGGGGGTACGCTGTTTGGGAGTGGTGGGCAGCTTTGTCGTTTGGGTTTGTGTCCAGGACCCCGTCGGGGTTAAGGCAACTGAAGACTCAAAGCTCACGTCTGTGAGACCCCAACCCCGGCAGTTTAAACTCGACGGAGCTCTCCGAAGCCACAATCGTAGCTATCCAGACTCCGGTGATGCTGCAGGGAGCCTCAAAACCCTAAACCTCTCGGCCCAGCCCGCAGTCGGACATAGAGGGAGAGCACGCAAGGAAGGCCGAAGACAGAAGAGGGCTGCCAGAACTCATGAGAGTAGGTCGGAGTGTGGGTTGATGTGGGCGCGGGGCTTAAGCTTCGCAGAAAGCTTTGCAGAGATCCGAAGCCCTCATAATCAGGAGCCCTACTAGACCCTTCGCCCACCCAAAAAAACCTTGAAAGCACCTCAAAAGCCAAAGCCCGTCAGAGCCCCCCTTTTTTACGAGCCCCCGAGGCCTCCGGCCGAGGCACTTGGGCTGAAGACCCGCTCTGAGTCAACAGCTCTAGGGTCGATTTCAGAAGTCGGGGGCAGCTCTCAAAATCCGGGGTCCCTCGAAGGAAGGCCAGGAAGTGGGTTTAGGGTTTAGGGTTTTAGTTTTTTTTTGTTGTTTTTTTTAAGGGTCCTTCGAAAGAAGGCCCAGAAGTGGGTTTAGGGGAGGAGGGGTAGATGGAGACGTTGGATAGGTCGGTAGATTCATAGACAGACCGACAAAGAGATCGAGCGGATGGCTAGATAGATAGATCGGTAGATAGACGGCTCGGTAGATAGACAGACAGATAGGTAGATAGCTAGGCAGGTAGGTAGGTAGGCAGGTAGGTAGGTGGGCAGGAGGTAGGTACATCGACAGATAGGTCGATAGATCGACAGATCGATCAAGTGATCGATCGACCGATAGATAGTTAAACCGACAGATATGAACAGGTCGCTGGGCCATTAGCTCGATAGATAGATCGACAGATCAACAGAAAGTTCGACAGGTCGGTAGATACTGTAGTTAGAGACCAACAGCAGACAGACAGACAGAGACAGAGACACAGAGACAGACAGACGGACAGACAGACAGACAGACAGACAGACAGACAGCCAGGCAGGCAGGCAGGCAGGCAGGCAGACAGACAGACAGACAGACAGACATCAGACAGACAGAGAGACAGAGAGACAGACAGAGAGACGGAGAGACAGACAGAGAGACAGACAGAGAGACAGACGAGAGACAGACAGAGAAACAGACGAGAGATAGACAGAGAGACAGACAGACAGACGGAGACAGACAGACAGACAGACAGACAGACAGACAGACAGACCGAGAGGCAGACAGGGAGACAGACAGAGACAGGCGGAGAAAGACCGAGACAAACAGAGACAAACAGAAACAGACAGAGACAGACAGAGACGGACAGAGACCGACAGAGACAGACAGAGACAGACAGAGAGACAGACAGACAGGCAGGCAGACAGACAGACAGACAGACAGCCAGGCAGGCAGGCAGACAGACAGACAGACAGAAGAGCGAGAGAGAGGGAGGGAGAGCGAGAGAGGCAGATAGACAGGTAGAGAGATGGGTAGTTATGTCGGTAAACAGACAGATAGATAGGTCGATGAATGGAACAATGAATCGGTAGATCAACAGACCGACAGGTAGGTCGACAGATAGGTCGACAAATCTGAGCAAAAGAGGATGGCTAGATCGACAGACGGGTCATCAGCTTGACAGGTAGGTCGACAGATCGATAGATACAAAAGGAGGCCTTCGCCGGGACCGCTGCATTTTGACAGCGGCCCCTCGTAGTTTCAGGCCAGGGAATTTTCATGAGGTTCTGTGATTGGGACTCACGGTGAAACGGTCAGGCTTTCCGGTTTTCGGGATTTTTCACTCTTCCCGTGTAGAAAAATGTTCGGCGGGGTAATTTCGGCAGCTGTTTGGGGCTGGGGATCTCTGAGGCATCGTCTTGCGAAGTCAGCGCCGTGCTTTGTCACACCTGTTCCGGAGCTCTCAGATTTGCAAACATCGCAGACAGCTCTATAATCTATAACCCACCATGGTTTATTTTATGAAATTCTCCGTGATTTTCTCAAGAAGTCAAGGCAGCTGACAGTCCAGGAATCCTCCTAAGGAGCCCGACTTAAAGGGGACACGACCCTAGCCTGGAGTGTGCGCACGCCCGGCAAAAGAGAAAACAGTGCACTCGCCTTAGACTTAGAGTTTTTTTTTTTTTGAGGGGGGGGGGCTGGTCTGCGTGCCTCAAGGCCTTTCAGGGGAGTTGTAGGTAGGTTCAGGTTCGACAATTCAGGGGGTCGGTGTTTCCAAGACGGTCTCATCAAGAAAAATCGTCCTCAACGGTGGGGATTTCTCCCCTCAGAACAACCTGAAAAGGCGAAGTGGGCTGTGGTTTTGGGGAGGCATGCAGCTTCATGCTCCTTTCGTTTTTGGTGGCTCTTGCCCAGGACGCGCTTCCTCAGAAGAAGTTGTTGCTAAGTCGTGATCGACCCGAATTCAAGCTGCAGCCCGCACTCACCCTGAGCCCACGCCCCGGAATCCCCCGAGGCACTCCGCAAAGCTTGAAAACAGGCCGAGCAATACCGAAGCAGAATTCGGTGCTACAGTCAGAAGACAGTTGTGAAGAGGGTTCAAGATCTACCTCAGTCTACTTCCGACCTCCAGCAGCCCTACCGTAGAGCTTCACAGCCCTAGTCTTTGTCAAACCCTTTTAGAGTGGATCTTCTCGCCACGTCTCCAACTCCGCCGGCGGGGCTGCGTGGAGTACAGCGCCGACCTAAGACTCAAGACGATTTCAGGGTTCAGGGCGGGGCAAGCCTCCGCTTGACGTACGGCCACCACTCGTTGGTTTCATGAAAGCCCGAATTTGACGAAGAAGCCCTGCAGCGGAAACAAGTCGTGAACCCAAAATCCTAAACCCCCGCGCAAACCGTACACCCGGAGGCCTAATTAAACCACAGACCCGCGGTCCATGTGGTGATACCAGTGACCCTGGGCTTTCGCAGCTTTGGCTTCATCTCTTGATCCGGGACCCTAAACCCTAAACCCCAAACCCTAAACTCCTAGAAACCCTGAGCCCTAGGTTCCTGTCAGCTCTCCCTATCTCTCCCTACAGCCTGAACTGCAGCTTCTTTCCATCGGGCTCGCGCTTGTTTCGGGGATCCTGGGCGAAGGCGGACGCTGCATTGACTGTGGTGCCTGGTGGGTCAGGGCTTAGGGTTCGCAGTTTTGCACAGACACATTGCAGACCAAGTCCCAGGCCTGAAATCTTGAGCCTTGGGCCGCGAACCCCTTTTGGTGCCTAAATTAAGTTCAAAGCAGCCTTAAACCCCTGAACTTCTAACCCTTTAAACCCTAAACCCCTAAACCCCTAAACCCTAAGCCCTAAACCCCTCAAAACTCTCAAGCTGATCCCAACCTGTCGGCCTCAAAGAGCCCCCGCAAGCCCTCCTTAAGGCGATGGGTCGTCCCACAACCATCGAGCAGAAATTGGACATGGTGGGGGGGGGGGAAGGGCGGGGGGCTTTAGGGTTTAGGGGGGGGCAGGGGGGGGTTCGCGGCTGGGGTTTAGGGCTTGGAGTATAGGGCTTGGGGTGAGTTTTGTGAGGTGATTGAGCCTGTAGGTCCCTGGAAAACTTTACCGTACTCTGCACGGAACCCGGTCCTAGAGGCCCGAGCAAGGAACATCCTAAGCAGTAAACCGTAAATCCCAAACACTATTATCCTAAAACCCAAGGCCCTTAACCCACGACCCAGCCCCTGCCTGGGCCGAGGCTTCGTTAAGTCAGTGCAGCTAGCCTCCTATGAGCTCTTATGGTTGCCACAGGGAGCCGTCGTACTAGACGGATACTGCGAACAGAGCAGCCAGGGCAGGTACATCCTTCAACTAAGAACGGCCGAAGTTTCCAAACCCTAAACCCTAAATACTAACCCGGAGCCCGAAGCCCTAAACCCTAGACCCTAAACCCGTTGCGCCCGAAGGCGCTGGACGAGCTGGTCAAGACTGAGGCCTTGGATCTCAGGGGTTTTGATTGCAGCTTTTAACAGCTTCCTCCGAACACGCCGGACGTTGACTTAGGCGTCGGCTGCAGACGGGTCGCAGTGGAAGTCAAGATATGAAGCAGTTCAGTTCAGTTCAGCTGACTTACAGACAAGAGCCATCCTCGCCTTCTCGAGCTCCCTGAACTATCTCTCCAACTGGATCCTTGCCTTTAGCATGGATCCATGGCTAGAGTTCCTGCAGCTTAGACCGAATAAACATGCCAGCCAGCCGCCAAGAAACATGCAGAAATTGTTCCCTCAAGTCAAACGGAGTAAAGCAGGTAGATCTACTCCTTTAACACCTTTATTGACCATCCCCCAAGTCCGAAACCCTAAGCCCAAAGCCCCAA